TGGATAGTTTTTTACAAGTAGTTGGCTGAGATTTGTTATTCTAAATTCTAAATTATTGATTGATTCTGAAGGTTGTTGTTTTAGAAGGAGTTAAATTTTTTGATTAAGCAATCGACAATTTTCATTGGTGTGTATTACTGCAACTAATTCCTTCAATGTATCGTGAACAATGATACCGTGGAATGAGGTGACAGTAGGTAAAAGGTAAAATTTGATTTTGTGAAAAGAGGTATACATATCTCTGTATGGTGGGTAACCCTAATGTTTCCCCCGCCCCCGAATTTGTCTAAAATATTGTTTTATTTGGTATCGGATTTTTAATTAATTTAGACCCCATGTCTGTCAAACTTTTATTTCTGCGTTTCACATAGTATGTTCTATGGAAGGAATCGAGGAAACCTCTAATCTAAAAAAGAATTATTTCCAGCCGATTTTTTGTTGTTTTGGCAAGAGTGGTATCGGCTACAAGCCCTTTGTTGAGATCTGTCCCGTCCATAAGATTTTTGTGTTTGCTCCGAGTCATTTAGTCTGGGTCTTGTATAATTTATTTTCATATAGTAAGATCCATTTTCATTGTTTTAGAATGGGTTGTCCGTTTATTGTTGTTGTAGCAATGCTGCTTATTTTGAAAATTGTTTGTTCTGGTCAGTTGAAAATTGTTATTAGATCTAGGTTCTATTTTAGTTTGCTGGTACGATTCTGCACGCAGTGGGTTTATTGTCGATAATGGAAGTTTGGAGGATATTTTTCGTATGAATTGAATTGCTTTTGTTGGTTGAAATTCCTATTATTATTCCGACTTGAAAATGCTCGATGTTGATTAGGCGAGTTTGCCCTTTGCAGTAAATTCGTATTAATTAATCCCGCGGTGGAATATTGAAAGATTCGGTTGTGATTGTCTGATTCCCGCTCCTTGACCCATTTTATTGATTCGCACGCAAAACTGTAGCGCCTAGATAAGGACTCTGAGCTGCCTGATTGCTAGTAGCTTAAGTAAATCTTCGTTGACACCGCGAATGAATGTATCTAAGGCCTTATTCTTGTAAAATTGCTTCATTGTTGCACGGCAGTCGTGTGGTAAGTCCATGGATCTCAATTTTTCTATTATTTGTGAAAGGTGTTGATGAATTCATTTATAAAAGTCCTGTACTGTTCCGTTTCCTTGGCTAGTTCTGATTATCTAATTCTCAACAGTGTCGATCTACCTTTTATCAGCATAATATAAATTTAAATATTTAATGATCTTCTCCCCATTCAGCGGTGTGCTTTAGGATTCTAAGGCTCTGTCAGCTTCGCCGATGATCTTGTTGCGCGTGGCACTTAATATACCATAATATTTCGTGCCACCTTTCAAATCTTTCCATATCTATCTTTTTTTCTTCATCAAGTTGTAAACATTTACCGGGGTCACTTGGAGCCCGCTGCGTTTCGTATTGCACTATTCTTCTGATTGTTTCCTTGAGCTCTACATCTTCGTTCGCATTTGGGTTCTCCATTATGGGACTCAATTCTGCTTCTTCGCTGAGTGGATATTTTCCGTTGTGGGTTAACCAATGATATACACGTGTTTGGCGTAATGACGAATAATTATTGTATTTGGCAGATAATTGGTGTAAGTATTTGGGATGTCGTATTTAATAATCAAGTAATGGGTAGGATTGATGCAAAAGACAGGGATAAAGCACCCCTGCCTTCATGATATTTTCAACCAATGAGCAACTTTACTTTTTAGATTTACTTCAAATTTTTCGTATAATCAAAGTTTAATTGGAATTTAAAAAATATTTATTTAATTTTTCATTATATTTTAATTTGTCAAATTTTCAAAAAGAAATTTTATTAGATTTCCTTTGAAAGTTTGAAAATCAGCTTTGATAAAGTGCGTATGTAACGCACGAAATATATTAGCGAAAAATAAACAAAAAAAAAAAAAGTATTTTATTCCGAATAAAAGGAAGTTTTCTTTTCATACCAATAAAAAAAAATCTGATGTGGTCAGCACATAACCGACCGCATTGTGTATTGTCTAGTTAAATGAAAGTGTTACAGAATATTATCAAGTTCTATTCATTTCAAATTCCTTAAGTTGTATTCATTTTGAAATTCCTTGAGAATAATGAAAGTAATTAAATCGTTTAAACAACAACATATTAATTTAATGACAAAATTGATTTTTAATTTTTACTTTTATTCAATTGTTAATAAGTAATTATTTGTTAATATTTATGATAAAAGAAAAACAACAATTCATTAGAATTACTTGTCCCAAATATTTTATAACCAGAAACTTCTGATTTTTAAATTCTTATCAAATTTAGCACTATTTATTTTTACTGCTCACTACGCTTCACTACGTGTTTTCTTAAGAAAAAATTTAATGTTAAGTTTGCTTAAATTACCACTTTACAAGAATTTTATTTTTTTTCAAAATAAATGACTTCTAAGTCAGCTTTAAATTACTTTTGGCTTAACTTCAATAATTTTCAATAGACTTACAGCAAGATCATTTTTTCTATGTTCGTGTTGACTTCGGCCAGCAGATCGAGCGGCTGCTCACATAACTTTTGAGCTATGGAGCTCCTTTCCGTAGGTGGTACTAATTGAATTTTTCTGGCTAGCTGTTTATTTATTGAGAATTCACTTCAAATTTTTTTTACTCTTGATTTTTTTGTTAATTCCTTCTTAGTTACAAAGTTTTCTTTTCTTTTTAATTAGTAAAGCTCAATGAAATTTTATTTTTGTTTTTTATACCCTGCACTTCGTGAATGGTATATTCACTTTGGTTTGGAGTTTGTAACAACTTGAAGGAGTCGTCTCCGGTATAGACATATATGTATATATTCTTGCTCAGCGAAAAATTCTGCGTTGATTTAGACATGTCCGTCCGTCCGTCCGTCCTTCACTCCAATCCCACGATATCTCAAAAATGAATAAAGCAATCGGCACCAAACTTTCACAAATTGCCTCTTTTGCGCAAACGGCTGCAAATTTATAATTTACAATGCATAATTTTATAATTATAAAAGTAAATTTTAAGAAAAATTTTTAGGGAAAAGAAAAGAGGAAAATTTTTTTAATTTATTTAGGAAAAAGAAAAGAGTTAGGTTCATGAAAATTGACAGTTGTGTGTCCAATATCAGCCCACACATATCCCTGAAGTTTTGATGGAATGGCCTTACAGGTTTGAGTAGCTGCCATGAAACTCCAAAAGCTAATTTAAAATATTCAAAAAAATAATAGAGTTAGATTCATGAAACTTTGAAGTTTTGTGTCCAATTATAGGTCAGACGTATCCATGCAGTTTTTATAGAGTGGTTTGTCAGGTTCGAGTACTTGGTATATAACAATGAGAGCTAATTCTAGATATTTCAAAAACAAATTTTAAACTCAGATTGCTTACTTGCAGGGTATAATTCGGTCGGCTTTACCGAAACATTTTATTTGTTCTTAATGTTTTCTTTATTTTGTAAGAGCTCTTAGTTTTCAGTTACCTTAATATTCTTCAATTTGCTTATTCAAATTCAAAATAGTTCAATAACTTATTTATATTTTCGAATTTTAATTTTTTTTCAATAATTTAAATAGGTTGCAGGTAGCACTCTTTCTCCAATTTTAAATTACCGCAAAAAATTGTGCTGTCCCTGTTCGGGAATGTACTTTAATATAATAGTACATTTCCATACAAAAATTTGTTATGAATTTCGGGATATTGGTGTAATTTTATTACTTGAATGTAGTATTATGCTTCACAGCGATAGGAATTTAATTTAAATTTAATAATGAATATAAAAAAAGAGTGTTATTATATGGAATAAATAAGAACTAGGGGCCCCTGTGGTTTGCTTATAAGCAGCATTATCTGTTGTAAAAACAGGATTGTGGCAATCAATTTTAAAATAAGTTTAGAAAAATTTGTACATATTATGGCATACATATGCAGGTATATACTTGTATATGCATAAATATCATATTGGTTTGAATACTAATGATAAATAAAAGTAATGAAAATATTTTTAATTTAATAAATTTTAAGATGTAATATGTGTCACTGTTAATTACATAGATATGATTAAAATTCAATTTAAGAATTAGTTAACAATTAACAACGAAAAATTTCCTTATAAACAACGTTATCTGTTAAAATATTTCCATCATCGATTTTTCCCTGACGAACCGTATCTTTGACTTGAATTTTTAAAGAATTGGAGTCTATGGGTCTTGAACATACTGTGTATAATTGCCCATGCGAAAAGCACGGCTGGGGGAGATAGAGGCCAACCTTTTCAAAAGTTTGCCCTTGGGACTTATTTATAGTCATGGCATATGCAAGACGGATGGGGAACTGATGCCGAACAAAATTAAAAGGAAAAGTACCTTTTACGCTAAACTTTAAAACCAAAGTAAATGTGAATTAATAAAAAATCAATGCCTCTTTTCTTTATACAGACCTGACTTGGCTACTTACTCAATTGAAATTTCGCAAGCACACGAAGAATAATTGCCTTAGTACGTAACGTAACGTTATTCGTGTTCTTATATCTCTCACAATTTTTAGTTTTATTTTTTTTAATTCCATTCCATGTTAAATACAACAACAAAAAATTATTTTACTCTTACTTAACTCATTTAAAATATTTCGCTTCCTTTTGCTTTTTATTTTTGTTTATGGTAGTAAAGCAAATAAACAAAAAAAATATTACTACCCTTTTTTTATTCTCTTTCGCTTTTCGCTTTTCATTTTTTGTTTTACAGTATGTATAATCAATTGAGTAATGCTTCTACCCAGTATTCTCTTTTGCTATTTTCATTTTTTTGTTTTTGTTATTTATTAGATTATATGTATACCTGTTCATGAACTGGAAAAATCTTATAAAATATAATATAGATGTTATAGATTTTAAGATAATTATTAATGTGTTCTTCGATATAATTTTCTTAAAATTTTGATGTTTTCAAATAAAAAAAGTATTCTAATCTGCTTAAATACTTATTTCTTTTAGTATCAAGCAACTTTTTAAAACAGCGGACCTTGTGTACACATTTCCACCATACAGATCTTCTGTGTATATTATGGGAGTAATGTTGGGTTATTTATTGCGGAAACTGAAATGCATTCCTTTTTCGCAAACACAACTTAGGATTGGTTGGATTTTGGCTTTCTTATGTTTCAGCTTAACTTTAATTCTACCTTCTTCAATGAGCGAAAAAGTATATTCGTACAATGCTTTTCACGCTGCTATGTATTCAGCATTCGCACCTTTAAGCTGGTGCTCGTTTTTTTCCTGGATTATATTTGTTTCACATATGGGATACAAAAGTAAGTTTTTTGTAATGATATGTAAACGTAATATGAAATTTTTATAACGACATGTACATGTAATATATTTTTTTTTTCAGATTTTGTAACGAAATTTTTGTCTTGGAAGGGTTTTTTAATTTCCACAAAATTGTCTTATTCGTTATATTTAACTCAATTTCCTGTGTTTTTTTATAACGTTGGCAGAAGGCGTAATGGAGATTTTTATTATAATTTTACCACAATAATGGTAAGCCATATATTTTGTATTTGTTGTATAGAAAAGAAATTTTTTGAAAAGTTAACGGATTTATCTAGTATTAGACATATAAATTTTCTTAAATAAAACCTTCACATTTGCAGACAGAGAAATATAACATAATAATATAACCTTCCTTAAAACTTACTTTAAACTTTCTTATAAATTATCAATTAAAATAAGTTCTCAAGTAGAAACTTTCAATAGAACATTGTATCCTACCTAACATTGTGTCTGATTCTTGTACTAGATGTAATGTTTATGTACTAGAAATCCGCTGACCTGGCGACAGGTAAAAAGTCATCAAGCATAAAGATAAAATAATGCATAAGTGCTCTAATTTATATCGAAGTGATTGCAAGATCTGACAGATATTTTCTGACTAAGCCAACCACCGATATATACATGTATGTCATAAAGCAATTTAGTCATTTTAGAAAGGTAACAAATGCCATATTGCTTAACGAAACTTAACGAAACCGCTTTAAGTGTTTCGAATTCCCCGCAAAATTACGAAAGTATTAAAGTAGGTTTTCAACAAGGGTGTTGCCAAACATGCGAGAAGGGGATGTAAAAACTGCGCTCGCCCGCAGGGGTAATTTAAATCATCAGCGACTTGTGCAAAATGAACGCTCCTTGAGCAATATAAATGCTCCTTGTGCAGAAATCAAACTCTTAGGCTACCCTTTCTACTTCCAACGGACAATAGGATTCAGTTCCAAAATAATTCGTAGTGGAAAAGTTAAACAAAGCAGCAGGTTTAACTTGAGAAAATATACTTAACATTAACTAGTGAAAATATAGGCCACTACCCATTAATAATGAATATCGCTCTATCCGTTTTAACATAAATGTTTAAGTGAGGCGGGAGAGTGTGTGTAATTCCATTTTTTTAAGTTGTCATTTATTACTTGCTGTTTAATTTTGTATGCAACACTTATATTTACTTTATATAAACAAATACACCTATTTATATTTCAATTTTTTAATATTTAGATTTTATAAATAATAGAGCTTGCCAATAGAACTTCTGTCAAACTAACGTAAGACAGTTCTTGTAAAGAGAAAGTTTTTGTTTGGAGCAAATATTCCAATTATTTGATTAAAAAGAGATCCGAATAAAAGAAAAAAATATCTGATGTGGTCGGCACATAACCGACCGCAATGTGTATTGTCTAGTTAAGTGAAAGTGTTACAGAATATTATAAAAATGCTTATCAAATAATTTTTCCCAATTTTCAGGGCGTTAGTAAGCCCTAACACATCTAGTTAACACATCTAGCAAAATGTAAATTTGGCTCTAAGTGGAGCCAAAATTTGGATTCACTCTGTCCCACCTGAATTCGCTGAAATGCTCGCCAGTTAGTTTCGGTAACAACCAGAACTCAAATATCACATTTCAAGAAATTCCATCAATTCGTTCCGTAGATATGGCAAAAAATGTAAAATCGGCCGTCAGATCAGTTTCCGATCCCTGACCTTTCCGAAAACAATTATATGTTCATTGTTTTAGTACAAGGAATTTAAATATTAAATTTCAATGAAATCGGTTGATTATTTCTCTTTATATACACAAAAATGTATATTCGGCAGTAGTCCAATTTCTGATGCCTGATATTCTTCCAAAAGTTAGGAGGTTTCGTCGTAAATCTATTGAATGTTTTCTTCATAATGATCAAAAATGTAATACAGGCCCGCTAAAAGGTGCAGTTGCCGAGACTTGATATATCCCAAAAGTTTATCAGTCCATGACATAGCTAAAACAAACTCACATATAAAATTTCATCAAAATCGGTTCAGCCGTAATTGAGATACGACAGGCTGCTAAAAAAAGTTTATTTACACTTCCCTACCATAGAAAAGTGCATTCCAACCGAAAACTCGATATGCAAAATTTGTTGCCATCACATGACCTACCTATTGTATACACAAAAGTAATGTTTAATGAAAAGCAAATGTTTCAAAAAGTCGGTAATAAATCTAAAAATATTCGTAAATAATAATTATTCACCCAAACGAAATTATTTTGTTCCAAAGAAATATATTGCAAGCTTAAAAGAAAATCAAAAAATTATAACATAGTCATCTTACAGATTAGTTAAAAAAAAAACTAGGTCAAAAAGTTAATTGTATTAAAAACCATTCAAATGAAAAAGAATAGAAGAATCTATTTCCAAAATTTTTAATTCAATAAAAGAAAGGACATTAAACTGAATTGTCAAAATTTATTACTCGTACTAAAATAAAAGTTAGGAGCACATTTATTATTATATTTCTTACACTTACTAGAAAACTTTGTTACATAATTTATTAAAGTAAAAAAAAACTCTTCTACTTTTTTTAATTTTCAGATAGATTTGAACGAGTTTTCATGTATCCTGATATTTTCAACAATCTTAACCTTACTATTTGATGTACCGTTTCAAAACATAAAGAAATTGCTGTGGAAAAGATAACAGACAGTTTAAAAATATTATAAATATGTATTATTTTAATTATATATATTTTCTATAACACTCTCTGTATAGCAAGTTTTTCAAAAGAAATTATGCATGTTGTAAATAATTTGTGCGTTAACATAAAATTATGCGTAATAATTAAACATAATTAATGCGCAATCATTTACTTGCTTAGTGTTTGAATTCACGAATTTACCTTATTTATAAAATCTTTATATTTTAGATTTATAAAATATTTGGTTTTATTTATGTGACTGTAACACGTTAGGTTTAACAACACAAAGTTGCAAACGTCAAACGTATACTAGTTAGCAAGCAATAAAATAGGAAATCTATTGCTCGTAAATAGTGTGGCAGGCCGAAAAATGATTTTTTTATTTTGTACTATATACGATAAAATAGGTCCAAATATTATTATATAATATATATAGCTACTTCTCAGGTACCAAAAAGTACGGGTACTTCAAGAAGGGCTAGAGACATGAGACAAAAGGCATTAGATAGCATTTTGCCTCCAGGGTCCCAGAAAAATCTGACATTGGAACTTTTTAGCCCCGAAATAGTCTTATTTTAATATTTTCTTAAAAAATTTTTGTATAACGAAAAAACATACTTACAGAATATATGTATACACGTATGTAATACATTCATATGTACATACATATATTTGAATAAAATTATTATTTTGTTTTTGCCTAAGCCTTTTCTTTATTTGAAAAATTACATTCATACGTACATATATATATTTGAATACAATTATTGTTTTATTTTTGCCTAAACCTTTTCTTTATTTGAAAAATTTATTTCTGTATGTTCACCCACAGTTTTAAAAAATAGGTACACATCTATAATTATGTATGTTTGTGTTTAAAATTTTATTTCTAATTTTTTGAGCAAAAAAATTTAAAATATTAAATTCTAATACATTCATGTACATAGAAATATTTGAATAAAAATATTATTTTATTTATGCCTAAACCTTTTCTTTATTTGAAAAATTTATTTCTGTATATTACCCTCATGATTTAATAATTATGCCAAACAAATTATTTAATCCATATGCCAAACCACAGTTTTGAATATTCTTCAATTCATATAGAAAGCTTAAAAAAAATTAATTAGGAAGCTTTAAAAAAATGTACATACATATTTATGTACTTATCTATTATAAAAATATTTTTTATTAAATTTTCTTTAAACTTTTATAATAATATTTATCTGTTACATATTAAAAAAAAAAAATCTGATGTCAGCACATAACCGACCGCATTGTGCATTGTCTAGTTAAGTGAAAGTGTTACAGAATATTATAAAAATGCCTGTTAATTACCTCTTTCCAATTTTTAGGACATTAGTAAGCTTATAGTTAACATACCCAGAAAAATGTAAATTTGGCTCTTAATAGAGTTTCACTTTGTGCCACCCGAATTCCCTGAAATGCTCGTCAGTTAGTTTCGGTTACAACCAGAACTCAAATATCAAATTTCAAGAAATTCCATCAATTAATTCCGTAGATATGGTGAAAAATGTAAAATCGGCCCGCAGATCAGTTTTCGAGCCCTGATATTTCCAAAAAATTTATATGTTCATTATTTTAATACGAGGCGTTCATATATTAAATTTCAATGAAATCGGTTGATTATTTCTCTCTATATACGCCAAAATGTATATTTGGCCCGTAGTAAACGTCTAGTTGCTGACGCCCGATTTCTTCCAAAAGTTAGGAGGTTTTGGGGCCGGTCGAGTGAAGCTTATATATGAAATTTCAAGTAAATCGGTTGAATACTTTCTTCAAAATGGTGAAAAATGTAAAATCGGCCCGCAAATCCGTTTTCGAGCCCTGATCTTTCCAAAAAATTTATATGTTCATTGTTTTAATACGAGGAGTTCATATATTAAATTTCAATGAAATCGGTTGATTATTTCTCTTTATATACACAAAAATGTATATTTGGCCCGTAGTAAACGTCTAGTTGCCGATGCCTGATTTCTTCCAAAATATACGAATTTTTGCGGACGGTCGAGCTGAGCTTATATATAAAATTTCAAGTAAATCGCTTGAATATTTTCTTCAAAATGTTCAAAAATGTAAAACAGGCCAGCTAAAAAGTGCAGTTCTCGAGGCCTGATATATACCAAAAGTTGATCGATCCGTGTCATGGTGGAAACAAACTTATATATAAAATTTCATCAAAATCGGTTCAGCCGAACTTGAGATACACACGTGCACACACAGACCGACAGACCGACAGGTTGCTAAAAATAGTTTATTTACACTTCCCTACTATGGAGAAGTACGTTCCCACCGAAAACTCGATATGCAAAATTTGTTGCCATCACATAACCTACCTATTGTTTACACAATACGGTCGGTAAAAATAAAACACAAAATTTAAACAAAATAAAAAAAAAAATTTAAAATAATCCAAAAAAAGAAAAATACGACAACATCCCAGGCAAGCATCGATCTAATAACTTTCTGGTTATGAGACTACCACGCTACCCACCAGGCTACGCAGTACCTTGAATTTTCCTTTATAATTCTATATTATATTCATATTTCGTATAACACATCAAAAAACCATCATATTTTACATTATATATATAGCTACTTCTCAGGTACCAAAAGGTACGGGTACTTGTAGAAGGTACCTGAGAAGTGGCTATATATTATATAACGTAAAATATGATGGTTAAAAAAAAGATCATCTGTCAAACAGCATTTTTCAGGGTTCGAACCTGGGACTTTTTGCATAGAAATTGCATTCTATACGCATTACCCTAATAGTATAAACGTTAGAAGTGGTGTTAACTCATTCTACAGTCACACGTTTTATTCGCATGTATAAACTCCAAATACATACATGCATGCATTTTAGTAGCGAATTATTTTAGTAATTTATCGCTTAAAGTGCTTATTGTAAAAGGTATTTTACGATTTTATGCGACATAACTCAAAGCGAGGTTCTAAAATAAATTACTCAAAAGGTGTGAGATCTGAAAGAAACTAATTATTTGTTTAATTATGTATTTTTTGGTAATTATTTTTCAGAACTTTTCTTATTTTAAGTTTTATCTTATTATTTATTAGGAAAAGACATATGTATCTATATGTATATTACGGGTGTGTTTTTGAATAAATAAAGTAAACTTAAAATATCTCAGCCACAGAATGGAAGACAATTTCAAAACTACAGGCATAATACTTACAAGGCTTGAAATGCAACCACACACGACTAGTCTTAATAACGCATATATAAATACAATTTTTGTATCTCTTTAAATCGTTGTCGCAATGGGTTTAGCAGCCGACTGCTTCTATATAGTTTGTATAGTATATGTGTAATTTAAATTTTATATGTTTTAGCCATAAAAGAATGACTTAATGTCATGCGATCGTGCCTTTGACACCGCACGGACCTTAAAGGAAGATCGGATCAAAGCAGTTTCAGGACTTCGGGGTTCTAATTATAAATTTTCAAAAAATCTCTTGAGCAGAACTTCCAAAACCATTAAAAAGCTTTGCCGCATAACACACTTCAATTCTTATTCAAGATTACTTGGAATGTTTTTTGAGCATGGAGTTTTTCAAGATTTTAAAAAAGATTCGTGCACAAAACTTGTGCAGCTATTTAAGAATTTTTGCAAAAAGAGACACTACCGAATATTCCGAACCATATAGGGACTTGTCGTTTGCTTCATTTTCTAAACTTTAATTCTTCTAGAAATACACATACTTCTAATAGTAATATCTACACCTTAGGATTTATTCTCGATTCAATATCGATACGAAATTACCAGTAATACACATAAAATATTTATATTTAACTAAGTCGGTCACAACGCGGTCAATTATCGTCTTAGCACTAATTCTATCCCGAACTCCGAAATAAGTTTATTAAATATTATAATCAACATGGCCATGTAATCTATTATTTCCCGTTTGTTCATATCACCTATTATTATAGAATTCTTATACACTTACCTAACATTACCTACTCTTTTATTAAATTCAGAAATTAACGTTTCGCGGGGCCTGTATATAAAGTTCATATGTTTGAAAAATAGTTACTTGTTACTGTAATTCTGTATTCATTCGGCCCAACAAGTTCACTGCCAAAATATTAGTTTTGTTAAATCCCTCATCATATGTGAAACTATGAAACAACTAAAATAGCAGCCCCGCTATAAGGTTCTTCTTATTAGAAACATATAAGAAACATCCGTCTAAATTAAAAAAATAATCTCCGCTTCAACAAGTCTTATTTCTGTTAAATTATTAATATAAGCTGGAAAATCATATGACTTATTTAAACTTTCCAAATTATAGAGTTTGTTCTTGGCACTTTGAATAGTAATATTTATAAATCATGTAAATAATATTAATATTCCTCCTAACACTTGCAAGCGCTACGAGGTTGTCTTGCCCTGACACATGCAGAAGATCTCTGGAATCAAGTGTATCCATATCATTGGATATCATTTTAAATAATAAAAAAATTGGGAACGACAAAAATATGGCATGGTAACATTATCAAAGCAGGTATCATCCACTGATTTGATTAAAATAAAAATAAGAAAGAACAACATAACATAATAGTATACCGTTTTTCTCCGACGTAGTAAATTGTTAAAACAAAAAAAAAGTATAATGTTATACCAAAAAATAAAGTTATTGGTTATAAATATCTTTGGAAAATTATAAATTTCGTCGGTATATGGGCAGAAGTGACCAACCCCGAAATTTTCATTTTTGAGATGTTTAGTTCATTAATTTTTCTTCATTCTGTACTGGAAAAGATACTCAACCCTGTAACTCGTTTTAATCCAGCACAATTAAGTTGTATCCAATATGCTTAAGAACATAATTATATTGTTAACACATTTTAGTTTCAACGAAAAGTGACCAAATGTATTCTGATATTGTTGATTTGAAATCTTTGGCTAAATAAATTATGGTAAATAAGTTAATGAAAGAGTTGAAAAGGTAAACTGCTTTAAAATAAAAAGTTATGTAAAAGAAAATTCAAATATTATACTATATAGATACAACTACTCTGATAAATTTGATAAGGCTGATATTAGTGCCCTTAATCAAAAGCTTTAAATCAAAAAATAAAGAATTTTATATGGTGGAAACACTTAATGCGTTGTATAATTTAGAGATTTCTATAAGATTTGCCAAAAATAAAAAAACCTAGAAAGACTATATGCCAGAGAGGTTGAATCGCACCGAATAATAGGAGAATGAAACAGCACCTGAACCGGTTTAT